ATCTGTCTCAATGACTTCTCAGTGCTCTGTGAACCTGGTTTGGGGCCACTAGTTCTGGGCAAGAAGTTTGCCACTCCAGATGAGCTACAGCTTACGCAGGGCAGAATGTGCTGCCCACGTTTCAATATTATTAAGTGTTTGTCATTTGCAGACGAAAGCAATTCAGAGTACAGTTGAGCAGCATGAAGTGCAATGGTCTCTATCATTCATTGTCCTCCACAGTCAAAGCTTTTGCTGCCCACCTGCCATGTGAAGCGCAGCATGATGGTATTTAAAGCACAGAAAGAGACATGGTCTCTACCCTAATGAGGTTACAGTCTAATCTGAAATGAGACACAACAGTTGAGAGTAACAGAGAGTGGAGGGGACGAGGGAGGAGGATGAGGGTAATGCCCATTGGATCAGTTACATCGTTAGCTGTTGCACAGAACGTGTTTTTTTCTTTTAATTTGTAACGGTTGCTGGCCCCTTAAAGGCTTGAATAGAGACCTGGGGCCAGCCAGCCCTAGTTACTAAGGAGGCACATGCAAGCAGAGATCAGCTGGCTCCCCTACAAAGTGCAGCAGGATACTACAGAGAGTGGGATGCTGAGGGGGGCCAGAGTGAAGTACAGAGGCTGCTGGGAGTGCACAGGCTCCAACAGAGGACCTGGGGGCTTGGGAGCGAGGCTACAGGCAGGCGAAGTGAGGGGGTGAAGAGTAAATGGAAGGACTTAAGGAGGGATTGGAGAACTTTATTTTGAATGGTTTGTTAAATTAGCAACACCGTCTACTGTCTGCTCTGAGTAAAAGCCTTGCTCGGTTGCCTCCATTGAGTTTTGCCATTGACTTCCATGCAGCCAGGATTTCACACCCTAATCTTAGCAACACCCCGTTCTTCTCCTGCAAAGAAGAATGAAAAACATTAATTAACTGGAAATTTGAGATTGCAACACTTTTATACTTTGATTCATGCACTTAAATATTGTTCTGTTTGTTTCAGACTCACTCACTCCCTATTCAACAAGAATACATTCCAGATTTGAGCATTTTGACAAGTACGACAGTTCTGTTTGCCATGTAGCGGCCACTGTTAATATGGTACATTAGCTCCAGTAAGGGGTACTGCAAGTGATGTGGTAGTACAATCAGTTCCTGGAGACTGAATTTATTCTATCCTAATACCCATTTGGAATTCAAAATTTTAAATCTGCTGTTGGTTCCAACATATATATATAGATCTCTTTTGGCACCTCAATAAGTTAGTAAATCGGAGTAATAACTGTTCCTACCCTCTTAAATTTCTCATGTTGGATTGAGATAAGTGATAATTAGACTAGCTAGAATAAATTGTTTTGGCTCTTTTACAAGGTTTGCAGTTCTAGATTTTACAAAGGTGAGTGTGCAGAAAATACAAACTTTTGAAACTGTATTTAATTTATAAATATGTCTTGGGTCCAGTACTATTCAGTATTTTCATTAGTGAGTTGGAAATGAGACTGTGTGCAAATGAAAAATAATATTAAGTCATCATTGGTGTTGACTTTTTAATGGCAACAACGTTTTGTGCAGTCTGGAGAGAAAGGTAAGGAAGCAAACATTACAACCCTATCCAGTCATACAATTGCAAGTAGTTAGACCAGATGTTATGAATATTGTATTTTACTTTAAAAGGAAGTCAGCCAATGAGGCTATAGTCCAGTAGATCGTTGAGCAGGATAATGTTTTTGCTTCTTTTTAGATTCAGAGAGAGTTCAGGTATGAATGCTAAGCTTTCCAGTACCTGTAGGTATGAATGGGATCTCATATTTTTAAGTGCAGGGCTTGAGCTGACACAGCTGTATCCAGATGGGCCTCATGCCAGTTAGTTGGCAGAGTACTTTACTTTGAACTTTTGAGCAGTAGTTGTTGGCCTTGTTTTCGCTCTGTCTGTCTGCAAATGATCTTTGTTTTTGTAAGATTACCCTTACGCTTTACACTTTTCCCATTCATTGAGTGATAGCTACCTCCACCCATTCCTACATGATTTATGCACTGATGAGCTCATGAGATTAACAAATTAAATAATTTAGAAACTACAGGTAGCCTTGGAACCTTCAGGGTATAACAAAAACATTCTTTCCTTAATTCTGTGTATTACACAATTTCAGAAAGTGCCCATTATAACGAATGTTAACTGAAAGCCATAACATCTGTGTTTCTTTCCTTTTATAGGTTCTCCAGCTCGGGTCTGATATTCTTCCTCAGTATAAACAAGAAGCTCCAAAGACTCCACCGCACATTATTTTACACTATTGTGCTTTTAAGACCACCTGGGACTGGGTCATCTTAATTCTAACCTTCTATACAGCAATTATGGTTCCCTACAATGTCTCCTTCAAAACGAAACAGAACAACATAGCCTGGCTGGTGTTGGACAGTGTGGTGGATGTTATTTTTCTGGTTGACATTGTTTTAAACTTTCATACAACCTTTGTTGGCCCTGGGGGAGAGGTTATATCTGATCCCAAACTCATAAGGATGAACTACCTGAAAACTTGGTTTGTGATAGACCTTCTGTCCTGTTTACCTTATGACATCATCAATGCCTTTGAGAATGTGGACGAGGTAAGCAATTGCAATCTGTATGAAATTGACTGCACTGGGTTATTTCTAATTTTAAATTTGGTTAGGGCCACGTTTATACTCACTAGAATTAAAACTCTGCAAACATTGGAGGATAAAATTTGGTGGTTGGGTTTTTCCACTAAGCAACGTTCTGTATGGGAAGGGAAGGTGTCTTGCTAAGCAATATAAGAGAATATCGGTGGTGTGTGAGATTTATAAAGTTACGGGGCAGGATTTTAAAAATTGTTCACTGTTGACCTAACTCTTCTTCCACTGAAGTCAATGGTAAAGCTCCCAGTGTCTTCAGTGAGAGCAGAGAAAAGGCCACCTCTGAATGTTTTTGAAAATCCTGACCATAATTGTTATTTATACCCTGCTGTTTTTCCTTTCCTCCTTGCAACTTATTTTTCAGTTTCTGATTGAGAGATGAACACCACTATTGTCTGTATTGTCTGAATTTTAAAAGGCTTAATGAGAGCCATATCTTGAATTTTTGGAGACTATTGAGAAAAAAGTGCAAATCTTAAAAGGCCACTGAATTAAAGCTTCTTAACTTTTAGCCCTAATAACGTTTAAAAATAATCAAGCTTGCAGGCTAAGGTAATGGAGAAACAAGCAATAACTACAACTAATAATGCATACATGAATCACTGTAGACAAAATTCAATATTAAAATGCAGCCATAATGGTATCAGAACCATTTTAGTTTCCCTTTGGGGCCTCGTATCCTTCGGACGCTAAACAGATGAAAACGTCCGTGTTCATTTTTTATTATTTGAACTGTTATTTGTTTGAACAATACAAGTGATTTTTTTTAATCCTTAAAGAATTCTTATCACTGCAATTATATAGCCTCACTTTAAAAAAAATCCACACCCCTATTTCTTAATGCAGGTTTTTTGGTACAGATTTTGCAAAGCTCTTTTTAAATGCCACCCCTGCCTTTCTGCTTAGTATAATCTTTTGACATTGTTCCATTTTATTTATAGCAAGTGTAACAGAAGTAATAATCCTTGCAGTTTAAATGCAAGCTCATATGAGAGCTGTCTATCTGGAATCAAGTTATACAGACAATCCATGTAAGAAGCTGATCCTAACAAGGTTGTTAATGTACCATAGCTTATTAACATAGGAAGAAATATTTGTTCCATGTTAACAAGAGCCTGACTTTACAAAAATATCATGGGTCTTCAGGTTTGTGTGTTTGAATGTGGAAAACGAGCAGGACATGCATTACGGCATATAAACTATATGCAGTTTTGCAGTTTGCTAACTTCTTTCTCTAATGTGTCGTGGAAAGTAACTCACCTCGGATATTTGTAAAAGGACATTGAGTATACAAGAAATTACTGGCTCAGTGTATGTATTTCATCATGTAGCTCTGGAACCTTTCAAAGAAGGACGGCTATTAGGAATCTAGTTATTAGTGCCTGAAAAACAGACTCTAGGGGGCTTAGAAGTCACCTGTATAATAAGGCACTGAGCTCTTTTTCCTGGCTCAATTTTCCTTTTTCTCTGCCTGCAAGTGAAGTCTTTTCTGATGGGGATGGCGGGTGTCTTTATTTATTACAGTTTAAATTTAAATATTTTTTGCAGTTTTTTGTTTTCTGGAAGGTTGTATTCGTTTGGACTTTATCTTCATTTGGCTTTGATTTTTCTGAACTGACTGCTTTCCTGTGAGAGAACTTCTGGGCTTGGTACCAGCAATTCTCCAAAATAATATTGATGTGATAAGGAAATTGAGATACTCAGGTTAGAAGTGCTGTGAGAAATATTCTCACATGCTATAGGTCTGATGAGAAGGTGGCTCAATTTTCTCCTTGAGCTAAGACAGATGTTTCTACCTTTTTCTTCTGGAAAGTGCCTTGGCTTCAATTTGTTCACTGTGGCACTGAAGAAAAAAGGAGGGAACGGGTAAGGAACTTGGCTTCAAGCTGCATGTTGAAGCAGTGCTCAAGGCATACCCATCAGAAATTGTTGCTGTGGAATCAGCACCTATTGACCTAGCACTTATGAAAAATTTTCTGCTCCATTTTGGGCACATGCCTTGGCAGTGAAGGATGGCCCAAAGGCAGGGTTAATCCCAAGTGGCTGTACAGAGTCCTATACAAGCTCTTCAACTTGCATCCTGGTCCAACATTCCTCTCCAGTCCAGGGAGGAAATTCTTGACTTTCTTTGCCTTCTGGAAATTTTGGGCTCTGCTCTTACTTTGGACCCCTGCAGATCATAAGTCCAACCCCCTTTTTTCCCCACAGGGCTCATCAGATGCACTGGACATATCCAGTGGGGATGAAGGCAGCTGGTGGAGTGGTGGGGAAGGAGGAGATATCCCATGTTGTAGCTTTTCTTCTGTCGGGCCCTACAGTGCACCCTCAGTGAGCGTTGAAGGGAAAGGCAGGAGGTTTAGAAGTATGGATCTCTGGTGCCAGTAGCCCTGCATGCACAGTGCACACGCATCTGAATTTGGTCCAGAGAGAACAAAATGTAGACTACTCGCTCCCCAAGTTGACTTTAAGATACACACTCTCCATTCTATGCCATAAACTAATGATTATCTATCATCTATCTATCTATCTATTGTATGTGTGTGTGTGTGTGTGTGTGTATATATATATGAATGATCAGGGGGTTCCTGTAGGTTCTTATACAGTAATTAATTTATTGCAATATAAGCATATGGATCTCAGTATTTCTTTTACTGGCCACAGTGTGAATAATTAACTATTTCATAATTCAGTTACTGTAGATAGGAAAGAAATAGGAAGCATGTGCCAAGAAACCTGAAATGAGGGAACGTATGGAAAGAGAACGCTGGGGTAGCATGTTCAAAAGCAGGGAATGTTGGCCAGACTGGGCATTTTACCACTGATTTCACTGGGAACAGAGTTAGGCCACTGCTGAAAGCTTTTTGAGAATTCAGCCGTAGGTGTATCTGACTGCAAATCAACATAATTTTATTGCTCAGTGGAAGTAGAGTCACAGCAGCAAAATGTGGAGGAAAAGGATTATGACACTAAGATCTAGGAGAGGATTAGGATGATTTGATGCAGATGAAGAGGTGTAGCTTTACGCAGTAAGAGTTATAGAGGCATCTTATAACTAGCTTAAGAGGATTTGGATGATGTGACAGGTAGGGAGAAAGGTAGGATAATGAGAGAGAGAGAGGGAGAACCACACAGTGAAAGCAATCTAAATTGACATGATAGATGGAGAATTATGTGTTTAAGTGGTATTAGGGAGATAGGAAAACATGGTAAAATATGTTGGAGAAAAGAGAAATACTTGAAGAGAGAAATTGAATAATTCTTTTGCAGATTACCTGCCATAGCTAGGAAAATGGGTAGGATAATGCAGGCCTAGAAATCAGAAAAATGCCAGGTATCATCATTAATTGGAAAATATTAGATGCACTTTTAGCTCAAGCCAGTTTAAAAAGAAAAGGCTAAATTGTTCAGACTTGGAAGTATAAGCATCTTAACCCAGCTCTGAAAATCTGGGTTCACAGCTCTGAAAATCAGGCCACCTAGTTAACTGCTGAAGTAAAAATGAAAGTGTCTAAAAGATTTGGGACCCGTTTTTTGTTGTTGTTGTTGTTGTTTTTTAAAGAAAGGCTTGAATCCAAAGTTTTTACTTATGCAAAACTCCTGTTGATTTCAGTGGTATTTATAAATATGTAAGGTCTGCAACAACAGCAGCAACAATACTGTGCTTATGCAGTGGAGGTCTATAGCTCTGAATGCCCGTGATCATATTGTGGGGCTTTATTCCAGGCGTCTAAGTGCTCCACAGGGTTATTACTGATTTGGTGCAGCCAGGTTAATTGTGGGTGACCATGCAACCACTGACAGTCTGTGACTGAGCAGTGTCCCCTCCTGACCTCAGATCTGTTTTTTTTTTTAACTCTCGATGTGTTGGAGACTTTGTCTCCAAGGTGGGCGACATGATCCAAAAGGAGCAGCTAGAGGCGGCCAATGATGACTTCAGTCCTTTCAAGGCCGCTTCTCAATGATACATCCCTATAACTGATAAAGTCAAACCAGCTTATATCTAGTAGTCACCGCTGGCAATGCGTATGAAATGCCTCCAACCTCCTGATACGTTGTTTAAGCAATGTCCATCTTTCAGATCCGTATTTAAGGATTGGAAATGGGCAGGTTTGATAAATCCTTACTTTTGCCTATAGTTTCTCCTTCTTTGGGCTCCAGACTCTGTGCAGGTCCTTTTTGGGTGAAAGTGCTAAACCAATGCTCCTTAGCATGTCTGGCTGGCTGCGCCTGTTTGATGACAGTTTACTGCTTAAATAGATGAAGTCATCCACTATTTCCACGGTTTGTCCAGAAGCACAGATGTCTTGTATCACAAATTTGTGCCAACACTCTGGATTTTTATTTTTTCCCCAAAAAACACTTAGCCCAAGGGACTTTGGTTATATTAGGGAGCTACACAGCACTTAAGGCCTGTCTTCACTACAGCTATTGTCTGAATTTGCAATTAGGTGTAACAATTCCCTGGGTTGCATTGTCTGTGGGGATTGAACCAGGGACTTCTAAAAACCTGAACATTTGCTTCCACCAAGGCTATTGGCTTGGAGGCACAACTATTATGCATGGGCCAGGTACTAGAGAGGGACAAAGACCCATGGTCCGTCAGCGTGAATTACCCAGGCTATCATCACCCCTTTAGTAAATCTGGATTCCCTAAATGGCATAGGATTGAGGAGTCTTGGGTACTGGTGCTTAGATACTAGGGTGATAAGTGCAGTATAAGAACTCATGTAGAATAGAATCATCCAAAAATTAGTTCTTTGGAAGGTGGAAGACGCTCCTTCAAATTGTTTTCCCACCAGCTTAAATAGGGCTGGATCCTTCATGCACAGATTTCATAGTTTTACTAAATGATTGGTGCTCTTAATATTGCTGTGAATTTTGGTTTAAATTAAGGAGGCTTCTGGTTAGTAATGAAGCAAAAAGTGGAAGTTTTAGCCTATCTCTGCCAGAGA